TGAACAGACCCAGCCTGCTGGGCTTCCCAGCTTCCAAACTGTGCGAAGTCGATTTCTGTTGTTAGAGGCACCCGGCCGACGTGGTAGTTTGTTCTGGCAGCCTGAGCGTGTGAAGACAGCAGGTGTTCCCTGGGATAGTCGGAATAGGCCTCGGGTTTCTTCGTGCTGAAAGAATTGCCGCTGCCGTGCAGTCAGAACAGTATGGAACGTGTGGTCACATAAGCAAATCGGAGGCTTCCAATTCCTGGTTCAAGCGAAGATAACCAGCACCACCACAGCTTCCCACATTGTTTTCTTAGGAGGAATTGCTCGAACTAGACTGCAGAGTATTTTTAAATAAGTATTCAGAAGGTATGGGGTGCCTGGGTGGCTCTGCACAGAGCCTGCTTTAGATCCTCTGTCCCTCCTCTGCTCATGTTCTCTCTCTCTCTCTCTCTCTCAAATAAACAAACACTTCAAAGGAGCTTAAATAAGTACTCAGAAGGTAGCCATAGGAAAAGAATGACCACCTCCAGTCTTCTTTGGAAGCAGGAAGGGTAGGAGTTATTAAAGTATATTAGTCAGAGTTAAACAAGAAAATAGATTATTTCTAGCAACAAAACCAATTACTGGATGGAGCATATTATTTTTAGCACTATAATGATCTCCATGCTATAGCTTTTAGCTCCACTGGAAATGACAATGCAAGTGTCACCCTGAACATCATACACCTTAAGTAGCATCTTGTGTGTTCTCATCCTTTCAGAACCAACTCAACTGTCATCTCTTCTGTGACTTTTCTAAATGTCATCTGAAAATGACATTTATATATTTTTGCATTCCACAGTCCCTGTACAGAAAGTGTTCATCATATTTCAGGGCTTCCACTATAACCTGCTTTTACTTCAACGAGGCACTCACCACGTCATATTACAGGAAGTTGGATGCCTTTTCTGCCCTGCTAGATATTGAACTCCCTGAGGACAAAGCCATAGACGTAGAAGCTACTCAATAAATGAATGAACGAACAAACGAATGAATGAACGAATGAATGAATGAACGAATTAGTGCTCCTTTGTATATTACTTATTTCTAATTTAGCCCTGGTTTCCAAAGACTCTGACACAGCTACCAGACTGAGACTGTCTCTGCCTCCACCTGCCAGTCTATTAAATGACACTATCAATGGTAGTTAAATATTGCCATTTTTGTATTTTGGCCACAGAATAGCGGGCCATGGGAGCTACCAGGAGGCAGGGCTAGTAAGCTCCAAAGGTCACGTATGAAGATCTAGTGTTTTAATAATCTTTGTCCCAACTATTGTTTTGTCCATATTTGAAAGCTCTCTTAATGTGTATTCATCCTGAAACCATTGACACTTCAGAGCTGCCAGCAGTCCACCCTAGCAAGGTGGACTATCATGTGAATGAGGTCTGCCCTCCGGTTTACTAGGACACTAGCCCTCTTATGGTTTACAGTCTTGACCAACTCCTTTTCAATAAGATAAAACCAAGTACTTTGATAACAATTCGAATGTCAAATTCAGTTAAATATGAGAAAATTATGTTTTCAGGATAGATTGTGTAGCACAACTTTTATCAGCTGCTGAGTCTACTATGCACAAGGATGAAGAAGTAAGCAGTTTTATCCTAAGCACTTAATTGCATACACATCTTTTCCCCCTTCTTCTGTGCTGGAATCTAGCCCATGTTTTATTCCTTATGAATTTTGATCACAGTTGACCATTACCTATATGCTATCCCCAAGGAAATCTCCTCAGAGTATGGAAGGTTAAATAGCTGAAGACCTAACATGACATCCAGGATAGGTATATGTCATGGTAGAGTGACATAGAGTAAGGCTGACTTTTAAAGCAAGGTTGCTGCCCTCATATGACACCTGGTAGGTGGCCATTCCTGAGGTAACGATGATGGGTGTGGCCATTCTAAGTGACATATAGAAGAGAATAGAGAGATTCTGGAGTACTTTTGAATAAAGTTCTTAGTTAATTCATTTTCCTCCCTTCCTCCCTTCCCTCCTTCCCTTCTACAAGTACATACTGAGCACTTACTATGACCTAGACACTGTTTGAGGCTTGGGGGAAAGAGCAATGAATAAGACTATGTCCCTGTACCCTCATGGAACTTATATTCTGATAGAAGAGAGACATAATAAATAAAATAAATAAATAAACGAATAAATAAATAAGATGATTTCAGGAAGAAACTATTTTATTTTATTTTACTTTACAAAGAACAAAAGAGATCAAAGGGTATGGTGGTTCCTCAAGCAGTCAAGTATAGAATTACCATATGATCCACCACTTCCACTTCTGGGTATATGAAGAATTGAAGGCAGGGTCTCAAATAGATAGTTGTACACTCAGATTCATAGCGTTATTCACAGTAGCCAAAAGGTAAAAGCAACCCATTGAAGTCCATCAATGAATGAATGGATGAATACAGTGTGGTCTATATATATATAATGAAATGTTATTCAGCCTTAAAAAGGAAGCAAATTCTGGGGGGCTTGGGGGGCTCAGTTAGTTAAGCATCCAACTTTGGCTTAGGTCATGATCTTGTAGTTCATGAGTTTGAGCCCCACATCGGGTATCTGCTGTCAATACAGCAGATCTTTTGTCCCCCATTCTCTGCCTCTCCCCTGCTTGTATGCTCTCTCTCTCTTTCTCTCTCTCTCTCTCTCTGTGTGTCTCTCAAAAATAAATATTTTTTTTAAAAAGGAAGGAAATTCTGAGACACGCTACAATATGAGTGAACCACAGAGACTTGTGCTAAGTGAAATAAGCCAATCATAAAAGGACAATTATAATATGATTCTACTTGCTTGCATTACCTAGAGCAATCAAATTTATAGAGACAGAAAGTAGAATATGGTTTCCAGGACTGGGGAGAGGGAAGAAAGGAGAGTTACTATTATTTAATGGTACAGAGTTTCAGTTTGGGAAGATAAGTAAGTTCTGGAGATGGGTTAGTGGTGATGGTTGAACAATAATGGGAAGTTACTTAATGCCACTGAGCTGTACACTTAAAGATGGTTAAAATGGTAAGTGTTATGTATATTTCAACAATTAAAAAAGTAATCTTTTAAAAAATAAACAAGGAGCTGGCTGGAACAGGAATGATTTTAGTTAGGATCACCTGGGAAGGCTCCTCTAATAAGAAGGTGGCCATTTGAGTAGAGACCAACGGAGTGATGAAGAGAGCATGGGGAGACAAAGGGAATTAGTTTGGGATTTTGTTCTAAGTTCAGGAAAGGGCTTTGGAGAGTTTTGACCAGTTAAAGAACATGATCTGATTTATCACTTTAAAATACCATGCTGCCTGCTATGTGAAAAGTTAACTGAAAGGAAGAAAATCTAGAAGGCAGAAGACCAATGAAGAGACTATGGCAATAGTCTTGGCGAGTGACTCGTGGCTCAGGTGATGTTGAGACAATGGGGGAGGTGGTGAAAATGATTAGGTTGGGATATATTTTCAAGGTTGGGCCATTATAATTTGCCAGTGGGTTTGATGTGGGGTGTGAGGGAATGAGATGAATCAAGGGTGATGTCTCAGTTTTTTTTAATGTTTATTTATTTCTGAGAGAGAGAGATACAGAGTGCAGGCGGAGGAGGGACAGAGAGAAGGGGAGACCCAGAATCTGAAGAGGCTCCAGGCTCTGAGCTATAAACACAGAGCTTGACGCAGGGTTTGAACTCATGAACTGTGAGATCATAACCTAGCTTAAGTCAGACACTTCACTGACTGAGTCACCCAGGTGCCTCGATGTCTCAGTTTTTAACTGAGCAACTGAGTGAAAGAGGGTGCCAACCACTGAATGGAAACAACTAGGGGAAAAGCTAGGTGGGGGACAGTAAGGGCCATGGGAGCCAATCGAAAGATGGTTTATATAAAAAGTGAAATCCAGGGGCGCCTGGGTGGCTCAGTCTGTTCAGTGATTGACTTCGGCTCAGGTCATGATCTCGCAGTTCCTGAGTTTGAGCCTGGCATCAGGCTCTGTGCTGACAGCTCAGAGCCTAGAACTTGCAGATTCTGTGTCTCCCTCTCTCTCTGCCCCTCCCCTGTTCATGGTCTTTCTCTCTCTTTTTCTCTCTCTCTCTCGAAAATAAATAAACATTTAAAACAAAGTTTTTAAAAAAAAGTGAAATCAAAACCCAGCACTAGCAGAGTGATAGCACATAGAAGCCATTTATTAAGTACTTGAATGAAAGAAGTAATTAATTAAAGTGAAATGTGTAAATGGAAGGAGGAAGGAAAGAAACTAATTCTAAATTTTACAAAATATGAAGGAGAGCATTTTGCAAAATGGTATGATTGTAAAGTCTCCAGCTAGAATTTGAAAGAACTGGGTTCCAATGTCAAATAATGTTTCCAAACCTCAGATTCCTCCTCTTGGCTTTTATTCTGAGACTTCCCACCTTTTCTCCTTCACAAGGAATGTGTTCACATCTTGACTCATGCCGGCCAGCAAGCCCATAGCCCCAGCATCCCTGCATAAATGCAGAGCCTACCGCCCCCAGGGACCAGCCAATCAGTGAGCTCCCCTGAGAGAGACCAGCCAGTCAGCGAGCTCCTCCAGCTGTGCACTCACCAACCCTGCCTTCCCCACCTGCAGCCAAAACCTGGGTATCACTGCAGTCATTGGGGCACCAGCTGCTCAGCAGTCTGGACAAATCCCCATAAAAGTCAGGTCCCTAAAGAGTCTCACTATTTTAAGGGCACAGGTTTAAGCAAGCAGGAGACAAGGTTCGTTCATTCAGTGTTTTGGCTGCACTCACGTTGACTGACCCACTAACTGTTCTTACTGAGCCTTCGGTCTAGTTCCTACTGATAAATCACAAAGGGAGGAGGGAGCGATTAGTGGGAAGAAACTATTTAAAAGTCACCTTCACAACTGGGAAGGCACAATGCAAAACGAGAAAGACCTGTGAAAATGCTGTAAAGCAGCCTTGCCTCTCATGTTTTCATACATTAACCACATTTGTGCTGGCTCTTCCACAGGGTTAAGGATACAGAGCCTGCCTACATCTGCCCCCTTGCCTGTTTCTCTTCAGGCAAAAATTATCTCATCGAGGGGCATCTGGACAAACTCTCCGCAAAGCCCCCCTGCCTCCCCGACCACTGACACAGCCAGCGACTCCGTCTTCCCAATTACGGCCTCCACTCCAACACCTATCGTCCCCAAGAACATTTCCGTGGAGCCCAGAGAAGAGAACACCAGCCTCCCAGCCACTCACTGGGAACGCAAGAACACAGACGCCTCACCAACAAGCGGTGGGGTGACCCTAACACCCACGCCCTCGGAACACAGCTCAGGCACTCCCAAGGCAAGCGTGCCACCTACAGAGTCGCAGCCCCCCACCGAGACCCCGGCTGAGACCCCGGCTGAGACCCCGGCTGAGTCTCCCTCCGAGTCTCCTGCACTCACCTCCCCTCAGGCTCCAGCCTCATCACCCCCACCCCTATCAACCTCACCCCCGGAGATTTCTTCTGCCTCCTCTGCCAGCACCAACCACAGCTCTGCTGAGACCAGCACCAAGCCCACAGGGGCCCCAACCACCCCAGAGTCCCCAACGGAGGAGCACAGCTCTGAGCGCACACCCACGTCACATGCCACAGTGGAGCCTGTGCCCACGGACACAACGCCCCAAGCGACAGTGCCAGCCAAAGTGACCTGTATGCTGATAGACATCGAGACCACCGCCTCCCCTGGGGTGATCATGCAGGAAGTGGAGCATGCGCTAAGTTCAGGTGAGTTCCGCCACTAGAGCTGGGAGATGTTCCCAATGCGTTTCCGCTATCGAAACACAGTAGATTATCTTTGAAGCTGGGGATGTGATGCCTGAGCTGAATTCACAAGAATTTCTACAGCAGTGCAAACTTTGCTTTTAGTCACTTGATCATTTCCACACAATATCTCATTAATTGCAGCCAGTCTTTGCAATTTGTCTTCCCAGATGTCACAGATAGTGGCAACTGATGAGACAGTATAAGCAAAGGGGTTAACAGCATGGCTTTTGGGCTGACTTCCTAGGTTTTAGTTCTGGTTTCTGACCTTGGAAAAAGCGACTTTACCTTTTTAGTCCTTATTTTTTCCCCATCTGTAAAATGTGGACAAAAGGGGTTCTGTCGTACATGATTCTTGTGGAGATTATAGGAGATGCCTGTGAAGTGCTTTGTAAGTGCTCAGGAAATGTCAGTTATTAGTATTTTTCTCAGTGCATTAACGAAGTGCTTACTTCATGGAACCCAGTCAAGGGAAGTAGAGTGGGGGTTGGGGGCTGTGGAGAACTTGCTTATTCTTTATAGTCACCGATATAGTTCATGGGAAAGACGGTAAATTTTACAGGACATTGCATTTGTTTTTCTTCTCCCAGCAGTCCTATGAAGTCAGTATTATTTTTATCTTGACTTTCCTATCTCAATAATTACAAGGAAGGAGATTTAGGGTCTCTTCTAAGGTCACATGCGTCTGACATTGACGTAAAGATGATAAACTTTAGGGTATGGAGCGGAAGAGGCTTTAGGGGGAGCATTTGGCCTCCTGAGTAAGAAACAATAAGGTGAGAACAGCCAGAGGTGAAGGGGGAAATGGCTCTGTGGCCCCTTCCCTGGACAGCATGCCCCCGGAATCTTGAGAATGGAGCCACACATGACTACCTGAGGTCAAAGGAGTGGCTGTGACGGAGGAGAATTGAACTCCATTTAACAATGAATAAGCAACCTTTATACACAGAAACTCCAGTAAACAGCGGAGGTGGGGAGAAAGGGCTAAGATTAACAAGACATGATTCTTTATGGAAGAGTTTATAGTTGACAAGGGTACGAAGTCCCAAAGAATTACACATTGTGATATCGAAGGTCCGGTATCTCAGCAAAAGTCCCAAGGAGAGAGAGCGATGCAGTGACATGGGGATGAAGGAATGAATTACAAAGGTCCAGGGTACCCCCAGGGGAGCCTAGCAGCAGAGCTGTTGTGAGTCCGGCCTTGGACGAGGGAACAGGCACCAGAACCCAGAAAGCGAGTCTTGTAGAACAGACCACCTTGACAGAAGCACTGACTCGGCTGAGAGACACAGCTAACCCCAGGTGACTTCTGGGAGTGAAAGACATAAATCTTCTGCCCTCCGCTGTGTCCCTTCCCTTGAATATACAGCCAGAAGCCAAGAACAGGGAAGCCCGTAGTCCATACAGGTCAGTCTCCTGGAGGGCTCATCAGAGAGAAAGTGGAGAAGGAGACAGTAGAGAGTGGCATACCCAGGTCAAAGGCTGATTCGTCTATGTCTCCCCCCATCCCCATTAGCGCCCTGCCTACACCTCTGGCCAGCACTCCTCACGATGCCTTGAGATGTGTTGTTGCATGATGCTGTGCGCCCAACAGGCAGGTGACATCTCTAACGTAGACCCGGTTCCTGGAACAGGGTGGGTGTTGACTCGGTGTCTGACGGACTGTCCCTAGCAAAGGTGCCAGCAGCGTATGGCTCGAAGTGGCCCTCGTCTCGTCTCTCTCTTTTAATTCAGGCCTCACTATCACCTCCGTGACATTGACGCTTGGGCTTTCTAGCTAATGTCCCTCTCCCCACTTTCTGTCCCCTCCAGGATACTCAGACGTGATGGGTTATTATTCCTGAGCACAGATTCTGAGCCTGGCATGCATACACCTCCATGATCGGACACAGCCTACTACTCTCTGCCATCACCCTAGTTCCGTGGGCTGGATTAGCTGAGACTGTCCAGTTCCTGTGCTCTGGCTTGCATTGTGTCTGGGTGTCCCGAACTCTAAGCCAACAGAGTCCAGAGGTGCAAAATTAGTGACAGAGCCGGGTCATGAACCTTTATAGCCCTAGGGAATCTTATACCCGGTAGCTAATCCAAGGTGAATTAAGGAAGGAAGGAGGGACTGATTTGAGAAGAGAGATGGGTGGCAGGGTGGAGAGAGATCGGGCCAGTGTACATTTCATAGGCCAGAAAGGATTTATCCCTGTGACCTATTAAATCAAGAAACATTTTCGGTGCTGCTACCAGTATACTGTGCTTGAGGCAAAGGAGTAGGAGACCTGTCTTGGAGACTTTATAGTTTGAGTAGAGAGAAAGGGCACAGGTAACTCTTAATACCATTCGAGTGACCACATTACTTTCTAATCTGAGGATAAATGGACATGTGTGGAAGGATCTTGGAGCAGATGGGGTACAGTCTGTTCATTTCCAAGGTGAAGAAATCGTGTCCCAGAAGTTTGGAGGGCCTCCCCCCAGGTCACACAGCCCAGTGACAGAGCTGGGCCCAGAGCTCAGATCCTTAAAACCACAATCAAGTCTTCTTTCAGCAGCCAGTGTCTGTACTGGTTGTGTTTAAGTGCGTGAGCTGCCCTAATTGTGGCAGTAATAACCACATTTTTCTTTAGCATTTTGTCTTACTCTGCGTGAAGTTCACATGACATATTCTTATTAATCCATGGACTCATCCACAACTATCTAGACTTAGTCTCCAGGGAATAATGCTAAAACAAGGTAAACGCCATGGCAGTGAAATTTAACTTGGGGATAAAAGGAAGGTTCTATGAAGGAGGGGCACATGAGCGGAGGCATAGGAAAGAAAGGTGATTTGGTCCTAAAGACAGACGGGGCAAGGGAGATCCAGGCACTTGTGTGCAAAGTAGGGAACCAGTGGCCAAGTCACTCAGAATCCGCCTCGCAGCTGCAGGGCCCAGAATTGCTCTTGCTGAGGTTTCCAATGCCCTCCGTGGCTGCTGAGTCTAGGGGCCGAGACCTGGTTTGACCCCATGTCTCCACCGCATTTGACAGGGATGGTCACTGCCCTGGGCCTTCAGGCGCTGTCTCCATCTGACGTCCAGGACGCATCTCTCAGTCCTTCACCTGCCTGGCTGACCACTCCTCCCAAGTCCCTGCCTCTCTCATCCCCTCCCGCACCGGAGCAACCCCAGGGTCAGGCCTGGCCTCCCCTCTCCCCAGCTCTCCACACTCACTCCTGAGGTGACCTTATCCTGCTTCAGGACTTGCCATGCCATCCACATGCTGATAACTCTGAGACAGAAAGTTCTATCCCTGTTTTGTTCCAATGAACTAAAGATGTGTATATCCAGCTGTCAGCTAACTCGCATCTCCACGTGCGTGGCTCGCAGGTGTCTCGCACTGAATATGCGTATGGTGAGGTCCTGAAATCCTCAGCCTTTAGTCTGCTCCTCCCTCGCCTTCCAGAAGCCTTGGGCTAATCCTGGACTTCTGTCCTCACAGACTCCTCACGCAGCCCATCAGAACCTAGGCTCCCCTGCCTCCTGTCACGGATATGATTTTAATATTCCTGTGACTGATCCCCACTAGCCACACCCTTGCCAGAGAGATTCTCTCAAAACCTAGGATAGACCCCGTCACTCCTCGGCTCTGACCCTCCTGTTGCTTCCCCCCTGAAGCATAGCGAAAGCCAAATTTGTGTGGCGCCTGCAGCGCTCACGTGATCTAACCTGGGCTGTCTTTCTGCGCTCTTCTCCCGCTTCCACGTGCAAACACACCAGCAGCCTTACTGTTTCTGGAACACCCCGGGGATACTCTCACTTCAGGTCCTTTGCACTTGCGGTTCTCTCTGCCTGAAATATCTTCCCTCTAGGTCTTTAACAGCTCACTCCTTTTCATCAGTCGAGACACTGGCCATCTCCCCCTCGGTGAGCCATTCCCTTAGCCCTGTGTGAAACTGCCGTCCTCACGATTACTTACCGCTTTCTGTCTCCCTTATTTAGTGAGTGGGTGCTGTTTTCTGCTGTTCGACGGTCAGCTCCATGAAAGCAAGGAGCTCGTTCATGAAGAGGAAGCTGTAGGCTACATCCTCGGTCACTAGGACAGAGCCTGACACATGGTAGCCCCTCGGTAACATGGTGGAATATGTGAATGAGTCAGGCAAGCAGTACCAGAGAAGCTGTTTCACCTCTTTGAGCATTGGTCATGTCATCAGTAAGATAGGGACCGTATCCACATGACGGGATTATCATAAAGTTTAATTAAGACATTTACAGCTCAGGGCGCCTGGGTGGCTCAGTCAGTTGGCATCTGACTCTTGATTTCGGCTCAGGTCATGATCTCACAGTTTGTGGGATCGACACCCCCATCCAGCTCCACACTGATGGTACAGAGCCTGCTTGGGATCTTCTCTCTCTCTCTCAAAATAAATAAAATAAACCTTAAAAAAAAGAAACTCACAAACCGATAGCCCAGTCAATGTCTATGGTTATTATTTTACTATGATTTATCATCATCATTACTATCATTGCCATTTTGCTATTGTCATTATTATTTTTGTTTTTATTGAGCTTTAACTATGAGTCAGGCGTCTGACTAGGTACTGGGGATTTGGCCATGAATGAGACATCACTGTCCTCCTGGAGCTTACAGTGTAGCATGTAATACAGCATGGCAAGTAGCCTAGTTTAGTGGATCCCAGACTGCAGGGAGGGGAAAATTGCAGAAGCAGGAAGCCAGATTTCAGGAGAAGTGTTAGAGGACCCTGAGTAGCAGGCGGAGGTGATCTACTTTACTTGCCAGATTATCAGTAGTCATCAAGAGCTTTTGATCAGGGGAAGAAAATGCTGAGAATTATATTTTAAGAATATTCGGCGGGCAGGCACATGTATGGTAAGTTGCAGGAAGTTCAGTACTAGAAACACAAAGACCAATTTCTGCCTGGTTTCCAGTTTGCCGTTGCCACTGACAGACGTTGTCACTTAACTACTTTGACTTTAAGG